GTGATAGTGACGCTCGCCTTTGCTGTTGTATGATGAGGTGTGTCCAAGGTTTGGGAGCCATTTCCTTTTTTAAAAGGAGCTTTAAAAATATTTGCACAAATAATTGTCAAAAAAGGGTCATCTTTATACTGTCCCTTTTCTGCGATTCTGTTAGGTTGCGTTTTTCTGAAGTATAGCAGAGCTATGTTTGCTTATTATGCTTTTCATTATTAAAAAGCAAAGCAGCTGGTAGAGTTGGTTTTTGCTTTGGATTTGTGCCCCGCGGTTCATCATTTTGCCTAGAACAGCAGAAGTGCCAACACATCTTCCTTCATTTGGGATGACCTGGGTCTCTGCCTGGCGCTCAGTAGGACCTGAGCACACGCAGGGGCATTTCCCTTGGTGTCACTCTTCTTCCCCAACACTTACTTTTACACTACTGACAGATATAAATTTCCCTTCATCAGCCAACAAGTTCAAAAGTTACTGGGGACACAGGCATTTGGCATGATCACATAAACCTTCTTTCCATAAGACCAGTCTTGTTTTTTTCCCTCCCATCAGCAGCCTGGTTTGCTAGTGCCTGTTTAAGGACACAGCACAGCCAAGTTTCTCGCTGAGTTTTATTTTGAAAACAATTTAAAGACGGCGCCAGGCTTATAGAAAAATAACAAGATTAATGTTAGGTCATGGAAAAATAGGAGCAGTATGCGCGTGAACAGGTAGGAAACATGCTTTTAAAATACTTCATCATAAACCCTGGGACAGAGAGAGTTCTCAAGAATGAACTAGTAACTATTTCCTGGCATATATTTGACCTTTATTGCAAACACAATATCAACATCCTGAATGTCTGCAGCTAAAGTTTTCCCAGTGGACTTTTTTTCAAATTGCTCTACCAAAATAGCTACATAAATGTATTTTCTACATAAGTACCTAACCGGTATCTACATGTGGTTTTAGTTGTTGTTCTTCATAACTGCCATTTGGCATCAAGAACAGGTCAAACAAGCACAGCTTTCTAAAAGTAACAACTACAGTTTTCAAGGTATATATACACCATACTGATACTGAGACTAAACTGTAAATGAAACCAAATGCAGAAGAAGGAAAAAAAAACATTCTGTACTTAGGAAACTTCCTTTAAAACAAAATGCTTTATCCTGATCCAGACAATCACAATAGTAGGATGTTGGATGATAGCATGTTTACAATTGTTAAAAGGTTCTAAACCCAGCAAAGTATCCTCCCACTATATTAATAATAAAAAAATTCTTTAAAAGATGAGAAGTAAGATTAGTGCAGAGCTCAGATTAATACAAAAACTGAATTCACAATAAGACAAAAGATTTGGATTCCTATGGAGCACATTATATATAGCACATAAGAATGGGTTTAAATGGGGTTATCTTTTTGCAAACATGCATGCAAGTATTCTGTTCATCAGTCCTACTTTCCTGGTATAACAATGCTCAAAATTCAGTAAGAAATGTAGGTTACTTCCAATACCATGGAAGCTTAGAAGTGGATTCTGGAGAGATTTTCCAGCCTTTTGAATTTTACTCACTTTTTTCCCCCATCCCTTGATTTCTCCTGCAACTTGCTTCAGAAGACTAGGTACCCAGCAGGTACATCTTATCTTGCCCTCTCTTGCACTACAAAAAGGATTTTTCCACGCAAAGATCCCAATCACATCAGCATTTCAAACCTGCATTCAGAAGAGAAATGTTAAGCCTACCCGGATAGATGATACAGACTGGCCTTAGGGATGTGTGAGCTCGCTCCCAACTGAGCAGCAAGGGTCAGTGGCACAGCCCAATACGGTGCAGCAATCATTCTGATGCCCACACTGGATACCCCACTTCCATGGCTTACACTGGCGCTGGATACAAGGCTGGCTTGGCTATTTCCAGACAGGGCTGCTCTCTGGTGCCAGCAATATCCCTTCAATCTGTTTCCTGATTGACCTCACTGGTAGCGATAACTGTAACTCATGTGGCTGGTGGGAAACATCGGGCGTTTAATGTGGAAGCCTCATTATGAGTCTACGGCCCCACTGCTCGGCTGAAGGGAATTGCTGTATCTTGAGGAGGACAGTGCCCGTTTATATCCAAATGTGAGTATATGACTCCATTTGGACTTGCCAACCTGAAAGCATGGGTAGTTTCTGGACTCAGCTGAGTTATACTGCCATTTATAAGTGACAGATGCAAAATTGTCCTTTATGTGGGGGAGCAGCTGGAGTATATGGAGCTTTGCTGTAGGACCGATGAGCCAGCAAAGAGTTTATGGGTCAGGATTGGAGCGCAGAGCAGCAGGAGCGGCGCTGTGGTGAGTCTGCTACACACTGCCGGACTGGGAAGATGCAGATGGGACAACTAGAGGAACTGGAAGGAGCGTCACATTCACAGGCCCCAGCCTTACGGGGGATGTTAAGCATCGCAGTTAAAGAGGGTCAACAAAGCAGGGCAGAATCCAGGGCATTTCTAGAGTACCTTGATGATAACTTCTTGACAGAGGTGGTCAAGGATTTGCTGGACCTCATACTTACAAATAAGGAAGAATTGGTTGCAGGTGATGAGATTGGGGGTGGCAGTGACAGAGATGAAGAGTTCAGGATCCTGGGAGAAGGAAATAAGGCACATCACAGGATTACTTGCCTAGGTGTCAGGAGAGCAGACTTGGGCCTGTTCAAGGATCTGCTTGGAAGAATCCCATAGGAGACAGACCTGGAGAGAAGAGTGTCCAGAAAAGCCAGCTAGTTTTCAAGGATCACATTCTCCAAGTTCAATTATTTGCCCACCCCACTGTGCAGGAAGGCAAGCAGAGGTGGCAGTAGACATCCATGGATGAACAAGGGGTTCTTAGCAAAACTCAACACAGAAAAGGGAAGTGTGTAAGAGGTGGAAGCAGGGACAGGTGATCCAGGAGGAATATAGAGACACTGTCCAAGCATTCAGGGATGGATTTAGGACAGCCAAAGCCCATGCAGAGTTCAATCTGCTAAAGAATGCAAAGGGCAACAAAAAGGGTTTCTACAGCTATACTGGTAACCAGTAAATAATTACGGAAAATATGGGGCCTCTGGTGCACTGCACAAGGCAACATGGAGAAGGCCAGGGTAGTTGATACCTTCTTTTCCTTAGTCTTTGTTGGCAATACATGCTTCAGGAATCCTAGAATCAGTAGGAAGGTCTGGAGCAAGTAAGACTTAACCTCAGTGGAGGTGGATCTGGTCAGGACTCACAACCCAGGCATCCACGAGACTAGGGATCCAATGGGGTGCACCCACAGGGTGCTGAGGAAGCTGGCTATGTCACTGTGAAGCCACTTTTCATTATCTTTGGAAGGTCATTTGTGACCAAGGAACATTCTCGAGGGCTGGAAGAGAGCAAATCTCACTGTTAGCTTCAAAAAGGCAAGGAGGAAGATCTGGGAAACTACGGGCCTTGCCTCAATCCCTGGGAAGTTGATGGAACACATCCTCCTGGATGTACTTTCCAAACACGTGAAGGACAAGAAGGTGATTGGGAGTAGTCAGCATGAATCTATGAAGGAGAAATTATGCCTGACCAATCTGATAGCTTTTTACAATGAAATACTTGGTGGATAAGGGCAGTAGGCTTTCAGCAAGACTTGCAACACGAGGGACAAAATTGACAGAAGTAGAGGCTATATAAATGGACAGCGAGATCCAAAGAAATTTGCCAGAACTTCCAGGCTCAAAAGGCTGTGATTAGAAGCACAAAGTCCAGCTAGAGACCAGACACCAGTGTGCCCCAAGATTTGTGGCATTGGGACCAATACTGTTTAACGTCATCATTAAAGGTGAGGGTGGTAGGGCAGCGGGCACCTTCAGCAACCTTTCAGTTGAATAAAACTGGAAGGGGTGGCCGCTACACCAGATGTTTTTTTTTTAGGACCTTGACAGGCTGGGGAAACGGCTAAACAGGAACTTCATGAAGGTCAACATAGAAGTCCTACACGTGAGGAGGAACAACCCCATGCACCAACACGTGCTCTGTGCCAAACACCTGGAAAGCTGCTTGGTGAACAACAGATTGAACATGAGCCAACATCCTGTCCTTGTGGACAGGACAAGGCTGATGGCCTCCGAGGCTGCAGCAGAAAGAGGCTTGCCAGGAGATGAGCCTGCTGCTTCCCAGCACGGGTGAGGCTACGAGTCCAGGGAAGGGGCCTGAACCTCTGCCATATGAGGAAGGCCTGCAAGAGCAGGGAGTATTCAACTTGCAATTCAGCCAATGGACCTTTTTACTGTGAGGTTGGTTGAGCAGGGGCAGGGGTTGCCCAGGGAGGTTGTGGATACTCCATTCTTGGCAATCATGGCCCCCAGCCAATCCTGCCTTGAGCAGGCATGTTGGACTAGACAATCTCCAGAGATCCCATCCAACCTCAGCAATTTCTATGAAAATATGTACAAACCCCGTAATTTAAGGCTCTCCTTTCCCAAGACATTTGTATAGGATGGAGTAGTTGCAAATTGTCTGCTTTAGTCAGGAGTGTGCTCTTTAGCTTAGAAACACACACTTCAAGAGCTTAACATATTTGTGTAACGATCAGACAACCCTCCTGGCTCTCAACTGGGTCACCCGAGACAGTTCATACAGTCTAGGCCCCGTAGTCCTCAATGATATATGTCATTTTACAAATGCTCATGACAGGTATGTCAGGCATTAATAACTTTTTAATAAAATAAGGGAATGTCAGCTTCCTGCCATGAAAGCCAGCTTTGGATCTTCACAGTGGGTGTATGCATTATGAAAATATCAACCCAGAATTTAAGCAAGCCGCACAGTGTTGCTTTTAACTTAGAAAAACAGAGAAAACATGCAGCTTCTGTTTATATTTCATTCCTCAACTATCATTCATTGTATCATCTCCTTTTAAAAATTAGAACGGGGGCAAAAAGCATACATTTTAACATAAATTTAGCTTTACAGTTCCTTCTCCTCCAACTCTAAAAAGAAAAAAAGTAATAATGGTGAGAGTAAATACAAGACTTTTAGACAAACGGGTTTATAAGATTTATTTTCCATTGCACATACATGGATTATATACAAGTTAGTAACATAAGTTACTTCTTAATTTTCTAAAAGATTGTTACAGCAACCACTTGCCATTTTAAAACATCGAGTCAGAAATCAATCTAGAAAGGTAAATATGACAATGTTTTAAAAATGAAACAAATTGCACTTTGTTAGGGAGAGTCAAATACAAGTTTGCCTATATGCTGTAACAAACTATATAGCAGGTAATTATACAGTTAGAAGTAGCTCTTGCAGTCCATTTGTACATTAATAATTCTTTTCAATTTTACTTAATTAAAAACTGGTGGATGTTTCAAAGACTTTACCTATTCCTTAAGATTCATCACATGAAATGCACTAGCAACTAAGTCTTTATACAACTGCTATTCAAATATAAGAACACCACACCTGAAAATAAGGAAAAACTAAAACATACTGATTTTACATGTATCATGAGATGAAAAGTATGAAAGGTGTTCAGCAATAAAGCCCTGTCCACTACTTACATAAAAGAAGATTTAAAAAAATAATCACTGCACACAATACAAAGGGTCGGGTCATACTGTAGGGTTTTAGTCTCCTGTAACAGTAATATTCCTCATTACTGTTCACAGATGAGAGTTTCCATAGCAAACCTGTTCTCAAAGTGTCGAATCTTTCGGCAGTTGATAGCTTCACGCTTCTGAATTCCTGTTTGCAGCAGAGCAGAATAAAGGAGAGCAAACAGAAAATGAAGTGATGTATATTAGAGACATTATAATGTTACATTTACTGTATCACCAGAAATCAGAACTACCTCTCCTCAATTCTCTCCCTAAGGGAGGGTGTACACACACACACACACACACACGCACACAAAGTGCCCTCATACTGGGAAGGGCAGGGGAAACAGTCGAGCAATGGTCCCATCCCAGAAGAGGTGTTGTGAACCCATCTGCAGTGCTGATTTTGCTAAAACCGACCTGCCAACGCCTCCCTGGTTGTTATTCTTATCCCAGCTGCCCATTTCCCTCACTGCAGGGCTGTAAAAGTACTTGTGGGAGGGCACAAGAGCAAAAAACAAGCTGCTAAAAACAGAGCAGAAAAGTCTCTTTTTTACTAGTGTTAGCTATTTCGACAGCAGCATCAAGGAATTGAAGAAAGACTGAATTTAACATTTTAGTCAAAGTAATGTTCATTACTACATCTGTGCTCATCATTTAGCACATCAACATAGTGACTTTCGAAATGGATTCTACAATTAAAACCTTTTTTTAAACATTTTAAATTATTTTATGAAATAACTTTCCTGTTTCCCAAGCAAGCAGGTTCAACAATGTGATTACAGTGCTTGAGTGTACACTTGTGTATCTCTACTTTGGAGTAGAAAGGGAAGGCGGGAAAGATTTGACAGAAAAAAGAAAGAAAATTAAGTATCAAGGTAACATGTAATATTTTCACTTGTCAAGGCTTTTCCAAATGATTTTTCAAACATTTTATATGAACGAGTACCAAACACTACAACTTCCCTGTGAAGACAGCACCTAAAACATATTTCACTGATGCAGTCTGAAGGCCTAGACTCATTATAAACAACTCTGGTGACAAGAAAAGCCTGCAATTCAGCGTTATTCTGCATTTGTACTATCAGGTTATTCTTCCAAGATAGTCTTTTGGTCTTCTTCCCCCTTCTCCCCCCCCACCCCACCCCATAGAAAAATAGCTTCTCATATGTTTAATTTTTTTTTTTTTTTTTTTTTTTAGGAGAGTGTCAGGAAACAAAATGGAAGAAAAGCATGACTGAAAACTTGAATGACAGAACACATTTCCATGCATACACATCAATTTTATCAACAGCTTCTAGCTCAGTGGGGCTTTGAGCACTTGCGCACAGTAAAAAAGACCCATTTCCATACCTACATGGAAAATAACAGACATACTTGAGCCCACAGAGCCAGTTCCTGCAATAAGCAACCCTTGCTTTAATAAAAGTCATTCCTTTCAATACAATCAAGCCTATTTATTGAATTCAAGCAGCACTCAAGCCTGTTTATTGAATTCAAGCAGCACTGAACTTTCCACAAACTCCGGAGTTTGCACTGCGTAACATTTACCTTTCATGGCTTCTTTGCGCTGTAGTTTATAGGTTTCCTTGCCGCGGCAGAGGCGGTAGATAAAGAATCCCAGCTGATCCACATTTTCAATGCGATCAGTAACAATCATTTGTTCATGAATCAGATAGGACTGAGGCAAATATGTTCCAGCCTGCAGAACAAAAATACAACAGCTCCGTCAAAAGCCATCGCTTCCTATCCTACGTACACAAAGAACACTTTGCATTTGACTTGGCTGCCACTCAACAGCAAACATTTTCTTTCAGTTCTTTCAAATATACTTTACCTACAGAGTTTTATTACAAACGTGCAAACATTACTGCACTGCAGAGAGGAATGTATTAAAAAAAAGGTCACATAACTAATGCGTGCATCTACCACGCTGCTATTGCAGTAACATCAGCCTGTAGCACAGAGATGTTTTCTTCCGGGAAGACACAGATTATCGTGGATCAAATCCTGCAGCTTGCATGCAAAATCTACACTTGTTGAGGTCTGTTGGACTATTGACAACTGAGAACTTTTCCCAAATAAGAGTTGCAGAAGCCCATTCTATAATAACATTATTCTTGCTGATACATCCCAATTACAGTATATTCCCACTGCAGTTTAGGGGGTTTTGGAAGAATCTTTATAGGGACATTCTTAATGATGACACTTAAGAAGCTAGTGTTTGCTTTCCAGGAATATATTTTGAAATGTGGTTATTGTGAAAACAAATCTAGCCTCTATGGCCAAAGATAACTATTCTTTCTATAGTCGATAATCAGTCTGAAATTTCCATTACAAAATAAGACTGTCTTTTCAGTCCAAACAACATATTTGGAAGAAGCTGATTAAACACTATTCCTTTTAGTTTGTTTTCTTTAAAAAAGAAGACCATAAAACACAACAGAAGGGATTGTATAACATTCACTTTAAATTTGGAAGCATTTCTTTGCCATGAGGAAAGCCCAGGGCAAATATCTTCCTCGCGCAGGAACTTGGAAGATTACCCCCTCCCGAATGATGCCGGTCATTCCTCAGTGAAGGGTTTGGTTATGACGAGCTCGGTATCTTAATCGAGGCGCTGGGCGCGGAGGGCAGCGCCCCAAGGGGGCCGCGGAGCAGAGGCCACACAGGCCGCAGTGGCTGCGCAGGCCGCGGTGCCGGGCGCTCCCGCCATGGGTCCCCGCGGAGGCCAGGCCATGCGGGGGCATACAGGTTACGGGGCCACCGTTCCCTCTGCACAGCCCCTGGAGGAGCAGCTCCCCATAGATACCGCCTCTCAGGTGCCTCCTGCGCCGCATGCGGGTAAAACCGCCCGGTTGGCTCCATAACAAGATCGACGGAGAAATGTACCTGCATTTTAGCCTTTTCCTGCCTGCACATTCAAGCACCGCCATTCTATAAAGTTCCCTCCATCAGAGCTCATTTTAACGAGCTGAACATTTTAATGTTTTGTCTTCTACAGCCAACGTGACTGCAGGACAACATGCAGGGTTTTATCCACTTTGTGGATCCAAAGAACAGTTTTACAGATTTCAGTTACAAAACATTTAAACTGATATTCTGAGACATCAAGTGCTCCCAGCATTTTGTTAGTACAATGGGAATTAAACAGATGTCTCATAAAATTAGGGCACTCACTGTTGGGGACAGTGATCAAAATGGTTTGTTTTTGCACAGATTTTCTACTAAATGCATGATGCCTGGTTATCCTCTTACATGTAAACCAGGCATATTTGATTTAGTACAAGTGACAAACTAGGATATGAACAGATTTAGCACTTGTCTGAAAGAGACAAACCCAAAGATCTCATTATTAATTCTAAAACTACAAGTATTTTAAATATTTTTTAAAAGTCAGCAAAATATACACACACTGACCCTAGATGCCATTATCAACTCCTCCCCTCTCCCCAAGTATTTCACTGTTTTACAAAGAAACCAGAAGGCTCCAAACAGTGCAAATATCGCTTGTTTCTGCATTACAAACAAACATATGTATGTGGAAGAGAAAGAAAAAAAAAAGTAAGTATAATTTGTATTAAATTAGCAAGGGACCACATTAGATTATCTACCTTGGCCACCTCCGTTGCGTTTCACCCCGTCACGGCTACGCTACGAGGAGAAGAGCAGCCAGCAGCACGGGCCAAGCAGCGCTCTTGCTCTTCAGCTATCGAACCCTGCTGGGAAGCAATTAGGAGCTGCTGCCTCCTTACGCTGGAAACTCATGTGCAGCATTTCCAGCAGCGGCGTGGCCTAGTCTGAAACAGGATCCTTGTTTTTAAGCATATAGAGCCTTTTCTGAAGGGATGGTGCTCGTTACCCATGATGCAGAACCGGGAATCTGACTACATTAAAAAAGCACCTCGTTTGAGTAGGGCTTAACTAATCATAATGTACAAACCTTAATCACACCTATGAGATCTCCCCAGAAATAGTACGAGTCATCTTAAGGGTCCTGGAGGCCTCAGGGACTTGTCACTCCATCGCACGTCGTGCAGCATCTGATTTCACTGAGCACATTCAGCAGGTCCCATGTGAACCACTGGATAATTTCAAAGTATGGGACCAACTCTATGGATTTATGCTTTAAACAATGCCCCAATTAAGTTCTTTCCCAACATATCTACTTTAAGTCTCTTGGCTCACCAGTTTTAATCTACTGCATACATGTTTTATGAAAACTATAGTCCTAGTGGATTTTAAATTTAAAAAAAGTGCAGCACTAAGTCAGACTCCTCTCCAAGACTAGGAGTCTCCACATACCACATGTACATAATTAATGTTGTTAACCAAGTTTGTAGCATCAGAGAATGAAATCCAATTTGCTTGTCTTCCTCTGAAGTAATAATTCCTTCACATTTGTAGTTAATTAACCAAGAAAGTTACCGCATTTTTTCCCCTTGCAAAGATCTGCAATGATCAGTTAACTTTCTAACGCATTTGTCAAGTGTGAACACTGGAGTTCTGGCACAGAAAAAGGAAAAAAAAAAAAAAAAAGAAAACCTTCTGTCTTAAGAACAAATCACTTACGATTTAACCATACCTTGATGTTGATGAGCAATTCCAAGAAATTTTTTGGTGGCATAACAACTGAGGTGTTCAGAGGAATCACATAGCACTTATCCAGGCTAAGGTCAAGATAGGCAGTGAGTCTCTGCAGAGGAAATATTTAACCAAAATAACAAGAACATTAGAAAATTCACATAAAGACCTTGTTATTGCCTCATGTTTTTCTTCAAGTTATTGTTTTGGTCAATACAACTTTTGCCCAACAAGTTACAATTTGAGGATAGGTAAATACAGAAGCAAAAGGCAATCTGGATGAGACTTTAAATCTGCAACCATGATTTGTCCAAGACAGCAGGTGATAAGTGGTTCAAATGCACTACAGTAATGGAACTACAAAGGTATATAATTTATTGTTATTTCATGCATTTTGAGATACAAAAGCCTTGCTTTTTATGTTTTTTTAAAATATATTGTAAAGGGAAAATGCTGCTAAAAAAAAAAGGTGAAACAGGATAAAAATACTGTATGTTATAAATAATACAAAGAAAAATCCCTTTTTTTCCCCAAAATACTACTGAGTTGAAATGTTATTGACAATTGACAGCTATGAATATTTATCTTGGTGTTACCCGAATGGTAATAGCTGTCATCATTTGAATTAAAAAAAAAGAGAGATATTAAAAAAAAAAGAGGTATAAAAGGCCTGAAAATTATACTGATGAAACCTACTGCTCCACCCTTTGAGCTGTGTTTTGTTGTATCCATTCTTGCTAAAGACAACATTATCTCAGGCTGCTGTAAGCTCTAAGGCTGAGGACATATGTAAAATACCCAAGAGCCCAAAAGTCAAAATACTACCAGGAGAGCAATCATCAGTGCAACTGATGGAGGAGTAAGTGCTGTGCCTATGGCAAGTGATTGTGCACTGACCTCAAGAGCAAACCATTAGAGTGACTTTGTTAATTTTGACTCATTAAATTCAGAAAGTGAGGTTTCTACAATAATACAGTATTTTTCTATTTGCTTCTGCCATGCTGTTTCATTTTTCTCGTTTTCTCAACTTAGAGACTTTGCTCTAACTCTTAAGCAGAAGCTTCCTGAATATATGCAAGATTATTTTTAAATGACATAGCTTAAGCAAGCACTGTTTCTTCTCCAAATCTGGTTATGAATATTTGATAGATAGAGCTCTTTTTGCCTGGAAAACTTAAAAGTTTGCATTAAAAAAAAAAATAGGACACTTTCCCTATTCTTTTTTTTTCCTTCCCTCTGCAGCCTGGCTTAAAAAAAGCAGTTGAGCAGGCAGTCTTCAAATATTCACAGTAATGTCACTTCCAAAAAACAGCTACAGAATATTTCCTCTCTGTCAGTTTAGTAGGCTGATGCAGAAAAAAAAAAAAGGCTTAGAGTCGTTTTACAGTTCTTATCATTACTATCAAGTGCTATAGGCCCATCAACAGCCTTACCAAGAATTACTGTCAAGACTTTAATCTAACTTGTTTCTGCAGAAAAGGTAGAAACAGCTTCAATGCCCTGATTTGGGTCCATTAAGAGACACAGTAACTGGTGATGCAAGAGGAAAACACAGCTCCTGCCAGGCTGCTTAAGACACACAGGAAACGACTTCTTTCCCAAAAGTATCCAGTCAGCTGCTTGTTCCGTTTGCTTTCTCCAGCCACTCTGGGCTTATGAGCTACTCTAGGACAGGACATGAACAGGGATAGCAACTTCAGAGGCAGAAGCTGAGGTGGAAGAAATAAAAACCCTTTCCCAACTCTCCCTGTCACCACAGTCGTGGGTCAAGTTCTGGCTTGGTGCCCTTAACACGGTAAGATTTTCTCCCCACTTTCTTACACTGGGGAAATGAAACATCTCCAAGATTTTTTCCCATTTTAAAAACAGAATTTTATCTGCATGGGACGGTTTACGCAGTACATCACGGTGACTGTAAACGCTGTACTTTGTACGCCAGGTTAATAATTGCTTCCAGCTTGCTGATGATCAAAATGTTTCTGCTGCCAAACCAGTCGAGGGCCTTCCCCACCCTTCGCTTTCCCCCACCAAAATAACTAAAGAGCACGTTTATCAGGAAGACCAATTTTAAATGCTTCCAGCTCCCCCAGAGATATTCCTTACCCGGTGGAAGTCGTGGACGATATCGGCAGGATCACTATCAGCAAATTCGGGGACTGGCACACTGATAAACTCAACGTCTTCCTCCTCCAGTATCTGGATATTCTGCTCAATTGTGTGGTAGCGAGCACTCTGAGCCTCCGCCCCGGACTCGGGTAAATTTAAGCCATCTTCGATGTATTTTATTCCGCAGAAGTATACACCACCCTGCTGAAAGTAATAACCCAGCAACAAAAACATCAGAAGCCTTATCAAACCTTCCTGGGGAAGAAAAATTTGCCACACTAGATGCAATGTTTTCCCTTTAATTTGATTCACATACAAACTAAACCAAGTGACAGCTGCTATCTACAGCAACAGGAACACGGGTAAAAAACTTGATTCTTCTGAAGCCGGTGGGAATTATTCCCTTGAATTCAAGGTAAAGAGGTTTTTAAAGTCTAGTCTTCTGTTCTGCACCCACTGCCTGGCACACATTATATTCTTTTTACAAATTAAAAAGTTTCCAATGTGTGTGTGCATTATTATTAAACTGCAATTTAACTACAGTCAATAATTACAATTTAAGACACTGAAACTGATCATCCAAAATGCCTTTAAAAAATGAATCTGACTTTGACCCTAGTCCTGCTTGGAGCGGGGGTTGAACCAGACAACTTGCAGACTCCCTCCATCGTCAATTATTCCATGATCCCGGAATATGGCTACAAGGCCATATAGTTTTAGAAACTATACCTTATTGCTGAGCATATGCATATGGCGTCAATTCAGAATTTCTCACTGGCTACATGCCTTCAGTGCAACGACAGCTCCATTATCAAACGTTTCCTTGAACCCAGCTCTTGCTCATACAAGCCCCGCTAGTTTAAGTTAAATGGTGCTGTGAATTGCAGCTAGCTGCCATGTGAAAGGGGGAGCCGACGCTAAGTGTGAAACACATGCTAGTAACAGAGCAGACCTGCAGCTGCTCTGGGCTTGTTAATCCATCAAAATGTGCTGCGCTGTTTAACCGCTGTTTGCAACACTCCTGCTCTTCTGTAAATTAGGTTAATTTGATAACTAAAGAGACTATGAAGTGCAAGTCCAATTAGAGCTGCTCCCGTTACATGTTTGCCTTCTACATGAGCAGCTACTAAAATGAAGGGGAAAAATTCTCTCTTGTAGAGAGAAGAGACCTGGATTTTTTGCCTCACCCAACGTGCTCCAGCCAGGGAGCTAGACTCACGTTTTGCTTGTGCTCCCTCGCTCTGACCTTGCAGATCCTGCAATCCAGCTGCAGCTCCTGCGTGAGGGACAGCGCCGCTCGTGCTGCGTGAGCGAGAGCCCAGCAAGCACATGCACCCAGTGACAAGAGGAAGAGAACATCTGACTCCAAACTTCCTCCTTCCAGGTAAACGCTCTACTTCCCTGGCACTACTACCTTCCCAGGATTCCTCCTGCAGCAGTGCCATTTTTAAGGCGTCAAAAAAAAAAAAAAAAAAAGCAAATGGCATCTTGCGAGAGGTCTAATCTTGTCCATGTGGATTATGCTTGGCAGAGCATGTTTAACCACGTAGGCTGCGCTTGGCCACAATCCCCTGCGGGGCCTGTTCCTCTAATCCCAGTGGGAGTTAGGAAGGAGAGAGTCATTGCACTGCTCTGACAAGCAGTCTCCTTCCCCATGCAGCAGCAATGTGGGGGCATCTGGCAAACTTGGGGGCAAATAAGAAGGCTTTCAAAGAGTTAAGCCACCTTCAGCATTCAGCAACAGCTCAGCAACAGGAAAATGGATGAAAATGTGGGACACTGCTGAGGTTTCCAAACCCAAGTCCTATTTGAATGTGGTCCCTTCTCTCTAAGGGGATGTTTTCAGAAGTGTTACTGCTATTAATCTACCAGCTTCATTTCTGCTGTCTTCTGCTGACAGGTAATAGGCCAAACACTTTGCTGATGTTTTAGAAAGATAAAAATGGGAGTATAAAAGCTACTTAGTTTAGTCTGCTGCTCTCCTTTCTGTATTCTAAACAGGAGACATGAGGGAGAAGAATACACCCCTCGCATAACAAAATGCATTTGACTTACCTGGAAGGCAAAATATTTGTACAGGTAGGCACCACCGAGGATCACACCGGCCAGCATGAAGGCCAGCCCGAAGCACATGCACCAGCACCAAGCCCTCCTCTGCCCCACAGGCACAGCATCATCCTACGGATGCAGCAGAGAGAGACCTTCAACACGGTGTTCCCAGGACACATCAGACAGATAGTGGATAGCACAGGCCCAGCAAGCACCAACGGTGCCTGTACATGAAAATGGTGTGGGTTTGGTTTTTTTTCTTTTTGTAAAACTCAAGGTGATCTATTTAAGTTGAGGTTCAGGATAACCTGCGCTACAGTAACTTTTTTGTTATGCCATCACCATGGGCTAAAGCAGCAGATTGAAACCTTAAGGGAGAGGAAGATATATGGAAGCTCAGTGAGGCGTTTCACAGGGGGCTGAGAACGGATACTCTGCTGTCTGCAATCCCCGTGAAGCACTAGCACACACAGGAAGCTGAGGCAGGAAAGTCAGACTCTTTTTTAGCTTGATATACATATACACAGCTTAAGGGAACTTGAAGAACACACAAAAGATCAGAGGTAATGACGAGGACAAAATATATACCCTATGTTGTTCCATCAGGAAGAAAGACTGTTTTGCTAACAGAGGTGGTTAAGTAAGAGTGGGACTGAGGAGACCAAAAAATAAAAGAAAGGTAATTCTGAGCCTGAAGACAGCATTGGCCATGCCTGAATCTCTCTGCTGCGGGTGTTATGCTAAAGGAAGGACAGGATGTTTTGCCTTTGGGGCACTAGCGTGCTGGACCAGGCAATCCCCACGGGCACCCTAAGTAATAAGACGGCCGCTTGCAAAATTTTTCCTCCATCAGCCACATCGCAGTGCTCTTCCCTCCCCCTGGAGTTTGCATAACTCACATTAAAAAAAAAAATAGCAGCAGCATGATACTGCCCTGACATTCACTGACTCATCCTCTTCAAAACCATGATATTCCTGGAAAAAAAATCAGAATTCAAAGGAATACGGAGCAATTCATTATCCCTTTCCAATCAAAGAAACAATAGCATGATGAAAGATAACCAAGCAAGAAAAATCCAACCAACCAAAGAAATAAACCCAAACAAACAACCCCTCTAAACCCAGGAAAGAGAAGAACAAGAGGCAAGAAGATGCCTGGTGGTGCAGTTTGCAGCATTTGCTGATTAAGGTGATCTCCTGCTTAAACAAAGTTTCGGGCGTAGCCCCCAGACTGCCCTGGCCCAATTGGGGGGATTCCTCTCATTTGGCCGCGCCATCTGCGAAGGGCGGACACCACATGGAAATGAGGCCCTTCCTACAGACACCAAATGACTCATCCCAGCTTGCTCTGACTTTGGAAGTAGTCTTTGAAAGCACTTCTTTCTTTTCCCTGATCGCTTATTTATTTTCCCTGATTACAGGGGGAGATTCCTCCCTTAACCAACCAGGCATCCAATTCATCCTAGCTAAAATTGGGTGAGGTGAAAGCCACGTTTGCAGCACCGTGCAATTACCTTCTGCACACGAGAGGCAGCAGCGCCGATTCTCCGCCAGGCAACAGATGCCAATATCCGATTCAGAAATCTTTTGAGTCAAACTCTCCAAGCAATTCGCGGATTATACTTGACATTACCTTGCAAAGTACTGTGGTAAATCAGACTGAAAAAGCTCCGAAGGTGGAGATTTCACAAGACTCAACTAGACAAAGCCACGGCTGATCTTTTTTTGGCGGCCATCCCAATTCTGGAGGGAGGCTGAACCAGATGAACTCCAGAGATTCTTTCCCACCAGCATTTCTGTGGTTCATTGCATGACAAAGTCAGAGTTGCTTGAGAATGGTGGCCATGGACTGACAGAACAGAATGAAAAAGAACTGGCGACCGCGTTAAGAAGTTTTCACATAGCTAATTATTTAAGGAATTCGGAATAAAGAATTACTAGCTCTGTGGTTTTTAACCTGGCTGTTTGTAAAGGCTGAGAATAGAACCTAATACCCATGGTAATCTAATTAACTTTCAGGTCAGGTTAAGATTCACTGTGCATTCTTTATAAAATCACCTCAATTATAAATCTAAACCAGGTAAAATAAGGATTTTTTTTTATGTTGCCCCTGTACTACTAGGTAACTATTTCCCTAGATATTTCAAAGCATAAAGGACATCTAATTGAAACCTTCAAAAATACTTGTCATTTAACTGGTTACAAGTTTGTATGAGAAAAAAAAATGCCTTGTCATTTAACTGGTTACAAGTTTGTGTGAGAAAAAATGTGTGGAAAAGTGGCTTTGGGATACCAGGCCAAAATATTCCCTAGCAAAGAACATAAAGAATATCTTTGTTCTGTCCCAATGCTGTTTCTATTTCTTCCCAGCCAGAATTATCCATTTGTGAAATAATTGCCTCTTCCATTGATTTCTGAATCAATGCAAGTACAGCACAAAATACTTAGGTGGGAGGCTCTGGAGCAGGAATATACAGCACAAACACCTACCTGGGTATGGGGAGTAACTATCAAATTACCTTTGCACAGGCCACAGAAATAATCAGAAATGGAAAAGTAACTTTTACACCTCTGCCATGATAGGGGGAACCTGAAGGACAAATTTATCAGTATTGTACTCCAGATACTTTAGCATACTAGATGACAAATGCAAACTATGCATTTTAGGATATCACTCATAGGTTGCATATGACTCTTTAATGTTTCACAAGCAGCTCGAGTTTATGTTTACTATTTGGGAAGGCACCCCTAACTGCAGCAAATTAAGATATTCTGTATTTGTGCAGCTGCCTCTTAGGGTGGTTTGCTCCCAGGCTGCTGAGAGCAGCACACAGATTCTCAAGACACCCAGTATCTCAAGAGCAGCATCTCAAGAGAGAGGAACCACAAGCATTAGGTAACAGTGAAAACATTTTACGTTGCTTAAGAAGAACACAGAATTGATTTCCTCTTCTCATTTTGAAAATTAAGTACATCACCAAGCAGTCACTACCACCTTAAATTTTTGTAAGTAATCTATTGAAGCTAAATTATACTCACATTAGCAGCTGTCCTGTGGCTAAGCTGGCTAAGCTTTTGTATTGTTGCCATGACAGCTTAGTTTGGGCTCGATTGACCCAAAAGAATGATCTGTCCCTCACTATATAAATCTGACCCTCTGCACTACAAGACAAGGAAGTGTGATTGATGTCCACCCTCCTTCCAGGTGATGCCTGGTCTGAAAGGAAAACCATTAGCTGGAAGCAGATCCCCGCTAATAGGGAGGGTGCTGAATTAGTGGCTCTCCCGCCAGCAGGGCCGCACCGTGTGCCAAGGCAGTGCCACGCGCTTCTGAAGCCCGAGCACGGCACAAGGTTACGGCCTCGCTTGCTAATTTTTCTCTCCGTCAGCTTTCCACTGCTGGGGATTATCTGACAGCAGAAAGTATCGTGTAGTGGAGGCAAAGATTGACCTCTAAAAGTACGCTTCTTTCCTATCCTTTATGAGCAGCAATAATTGGGCAGTGCTGTTCCAGTCCTTTTGCTTCCCCTCTCCTGCTTCAGCCCTGTCCCATGTAGCTCCAGCTCCACACTGAATCCTTGGCCTTAGGGTGAGGCCACATTGCTGATCCTCTTGGATGCAAACGTCACAGGAGGAACTGGACACAAGCCTGACACTGGCTTGTTCTCCTTGATGAGCCCATTGTGCTAACTGGAAAAACGTTGATTAGCCTATTTCCCGTGGATGAGATATAACACAGAAGTATCTCTCTGCCCTGCTTTCCTTAACTTGTATATTAAATCCCATGGTGAATTAAATAGCTCAGAATGTTACAACCTGAATACTTTAGGCTCTGGAGGAACAATTTTCTTGCAGACAGAAAGTGAGATGTATTAAACCATCCCTCATTCAAGACTTAAAAGCTTTTGGCAAGGTTCTCCTAAGTCTGTCCTCTTGCCACAAAGAAGCTTCAAGATGATTGTAGTTTTCAGCAGAGATTCCTTCATCGGGTGGCCACAGCAGGCAATGCAAAGCAGCAGCCAGGCTTGTTACTGGGACTGCAAAACACGTTGAAGTTGGACATATGATATCAGAAATTATTTGTCAAAGCGCTTCTTAATTACAGCTAGAGTGAACCTCCCAAGAACATCCACTGACAACAGTTGGCTTTAACTGGTCTGGACTGGGGGAAAATAAGTGTTAACCGCTAAACATGCAAACATTAGCAGTTAAGAATGGCTACTAAGTACTGAACTTGAGAGGGACCAAATTCATGTTTGGGGTAACATCATAAAATTCTGAGAACAAATTCTAACACTAAGACACAAATGTGTATAATTAGATTTGGTAATTACGCAGTTTTTCCCCTTATGATTTTTTGTACATAGTGAAATATATTGCTTCAAAATTATAAAAGTAGTCTAAAAATTCACAAGGCATATGCTCAGTTCATATTAAAAAGTGGGAGAGGAAGGAGATTATCAGATATTCTTTCTTTGCCTAAATTAATGGCGGATCAAATTATATGATTAAAAGATTAGGTGTGATTCAATTAGATATGAATTCATCTAAACTAGATGCCATGGATGAGTTTGGATGTACTGTGTGGGGTCTAGGATATTTTTATGATTACTGGGCACCTATGCAGAAGATAATGGCCTAACTTTAAAAATAGGTAGAGTAAAATTAAAAATAACGAAAATAAAATCACTTTCAGAAGTGCCACATTGTCTTTGATCTGCAGAGAAACTGGATGTAGAGTATTACTATATAGTTCTATATAGGTATGTCTACAACATAATACACAAATAGCCCACAATTATTCATCTGAGAATAACATCCAATCTATATATACAAGGGTTTAAAATCTGTGTGGGCAGAAATGGTTGGAAGCCGTTCAGAATCGTTTTCTTCAGAGCCCCTGGCATCCCAGTTAGCTCACGCGGGCTGACAAAGTAGAAATGAATGTCGGACAGCAGCCCCTGAAAGTGTTTGGTATTGAGGGAAGCTGAAGCGCTGAAATAAAAGTGACCAGTGGCTGTACGGACTCGGCTCTGTTGAACAAGATCACCTGTTCTGACATCACCAAAACCTCTCAGAATTGAGTCGATCTAAAAGGCAGTCCCAAAGGCGCTCTGCATTCCCCCCA